TATAGGCCACAATCACTTTTTGGTAGCGCTAAAATGCCATGTTCTCAGTCGTTATTCTGAACAAACAAGAAAGAGTCATGGTGATACTGGCACAATAGGTCTTTATTGTTTTAACTACTATTCGACAGTCTTATAACAAATATGAACAACGAGAGTAGACATACTAAACCTGTAGGCATTAATTATTCCATCCTGATGCGTGTAGTCATTCGTGACTGCGCTACACACTGAAAGCAACATTCTGAAAAGCGTCATAATTCAGTTACAAGAAACGTTGAAGTTCCATAAATGCATACCTTTGCCTAATAACAAAGGCATAAATGTGTTGGTTTGCCCCGCCCGTTATATCAGTTGCACGGAAGTAGCTGGCAACGCAAGTAATCCGGGCGCTGCAGCTTTAAGCAGCTGCGCGCGCTCCCGCAGACGGCAATCAGTTTCTGGCACAACACCGGCACACTTTTGCACCGGAGGTTTTCGGAAAGCTTTTATTTTGGTATTTCCGCTGATCCGTGCAATAAATTTGCATATTAGCCTAAACATTTAGATTTAACGTTTAGATTTAGATTTAAATATAATATTTAGATTTAACATTTAAAATTCTGTTTTAATTATGAGAAGTTACAAATATTTTACTAAATGTTGTAAAAAAGGACTTGTTTTGAGCTAAATGTGGAAAAATGTTGCCGTTAATTTCAGCATGTTTCACTTTACAAACGGCGCCCCATAGTTGAGGTGCTGCTGGAGTGGGTGCAGTATGACTCCCTTCAAACCCTCTGAGGTCCCGGGTATAATCGGCTGTTTTTGATTACTTCTGATTTTGCATTTCACCTTTAAAAGCGGTTTCCTCGCCTTGTTTAGTGTCATTCTTTGAGCACAACATCACAGGTCTGAATTTACTGTTATTTTTTCATTTTAACTGTATTAAGAAAATTGAAAACAAAACAACATTTTAACAGCACAAATTTTGCAAACAGCAAAGTTACAACTCCTTACCTAAAAATGGAGGCAATACATATTTTTTTCTTTATCATAATTCTGGTTTAGGGGCGTATGGGTTAGTTAGTCTACACATGCTGACATGGAGACTCAGTGTGGCAGCATTTTGTTGCTGTGGCATCTTTAATCGGTCATGTGAGTTTGAGTGGTAAAGCTGGACTCAACATATATGAGACCAGAAGCAAGAATTGCTAAACTCATAACATATGTTTCAAAACCAAACGATATAAAGCTGCTAAAACACATAAAAACGATGACTTCATGTCCAGAAACAAATCTGGCACTTGTGTGTAATACCAGTTTATTCCACAAGATGGTGCAGCGAGTCAACGAGCCTCTCATTCTTACTGTCAGCGACACGTCTGGAGGAGAATTTTAAAAAGAAGCTGGTGGAAGTTAAACTTAGTATTGTTGCACCTTCAGATGCTCAGCTGATATCTGAGTCTTTTCATGTCCTGCAGCCTGAACGAGCACACAGCGAGGCTTCTGCTGAATGCTTCTGCCCTGTTTCCCCTGTAATGGCCTGAGGAGCCACGAGATGGCTGCATTCTTAAATGTTTGATGGAGAAGACGCAGGAGGCGGGTCCACAGGGGGAGGAGAGTGAGGCTGAGGAGGAGGCGCAGATGCAGAAGCGGGCAGAGAACATGGACAGGGAGCTGGCCACGCTCTTCCATCTGATGAGGAAAGTTTCCACACAGTGTGCAGAGAGTAGGCCTCCCTCACCTCCTTCCTCCTCTCAGCCCCGGCTCTGCCTCCATCCCGGCCTCCTCTCCCTCCCCCCCTGCTCGCAGGCAGAGGGATGAGTGTTTCCTGCCAGCCTGCAGACAGACGTGGACGCTGCTGCTGCTCTCACCGCTGCAGGAAGCAGGACGATCAGCCCAGAGCTCCGTGCCACCTGAACCCGCTGTGAGCCGCACATGTGAGTGCACACACACACACACACACGCACACACACACACACACACACACACACACACACACACACACACACACACTGATGTCTGTGAATGAGTGTGTGTGATTGGAGCTGCGATGGTGGTTCCAGAGGATCGGTCAGGTCAGTAATGAGAAGCAGACGCTGCTGAGATCACAGAGAAACCAGCAGAAAGCTGAGTCATCATCCGTCTGTCCTGATGGCCGCTCACAGCTAAACCCACAGACTCACCGCATGTTCTGACCTCGTCGGGTCATCGTGTCCAGGAGCTTCAGCATCAAAGTAAACCCTGAGCTCAGTGGCTTCATTTGAACTCTGAATTCATTTCTTCCATCTTTTAACAATCAGGAGCTCCTGCAGCAGCCAGAGGGCTGATCCTCTGACGGTAACGTGTTGTGAAGCCAGCGCAGTTTCACGCTCCGCGCTTGAGTCTGTGGACAGCCCACATTTTACTGACTTTTTACGTGTGCGCTGTTAGAGCCTGGCCAGGAGAGCGGCTCAGAGAGATTCACTGCTGTGAATGTCCAGCCTCTATATGTGCTCATTTTAAAGCTTCAGCACACTTTGAAGAGGATCTGAGACCTTCAGGTTCCACAGACACAGAGAAACACTTCTTCACACAGATGCAGCGGATATCTTCATATTCCAAGGAAGTCTCTCACAAGTGGATACAAGAACTTAATGATAAAAATCTATTAGTCATTTAAAGTAACTTGAAGATGGAAAGATTGTAGAGGTTTCTTTGAGGTAAAGTCCATATATGCACTCTTCTTAAATAATCTCACTGTCAGATCGGATGTTTGACCCTGTGAGAGGTCGTCTGGATGGATAGATGGATGGTGCCCAGGTATAAGAGTCTGGACTTTAGTTTCACAGCCTGCCGTCTACTTAAAAATAAAGAGACCACAGTCTCAATGTGGGGAAAAGTATGGGGCAGGGGGCGTCTGCAGCAGCACAGATTTAAACCTCCAGTGAACGGCTGATGGAGGTCAGTGACGCGTAAACACGCTCCACACACAGGAAGCTCTTCATCAGCACTGAAACAACACTTGTAACCACGAAGAAGGGAGACGCTGAGAGCCTCACAGCTTCAGTCATTTCTCTTTACTCAGCTGGTCTTAGAGATGGAAGTGCAGATTAACCCGATACGCCTCAGGCTGCTCGACAATTTCCCCCAAATTTCCCCTCAAACATCTGCTTATATTGGTATGAGAGAAAAATCATTCTGCTGCTGGATGTAAGCTTTCTGGGTCTACGTCTGGATCTCTGAGCCTTTCTAAACACATGCAGCCCCAACGCTTCCAAACTAGAGATGCACCGCTCGTGCATTCAGACTTTTCTCTAGCAATATTATTCTTTCCAAGAACTTTATTTTCATAATGAAAGAAATGCTTAAACTTTATGATTTCCCCCAAACTCCAGTCAGTTCCAGGATCTGCTCTCAACAGCTGACTGCTTTCATCCTTTCATTGCTCATACCGAGGCTCTGGACAGCTGTAGCCTTGTTTCCTTTGTTATCTAATCTAAAATATCCCTGTTCGGTTGGGTGACGGAGTGTCAGTGTCTCATTAGGTTTGTTGTTACAAACATTGTGGTTTAATTAGGTCCCACTGACAGGAGAGTGACGAGGCTAAAGACATGTTAGCATGTGCACCGCTCTGCATGTTACACTTGCATGAAACGGACGACTCGCACTCGGACATATGGGAGGCTGACCAACCGAGAACACTGGAAACCAGCAGATTATTATTCATGGATGATTACCCGGGCTTTTCTTTGGCCTCTCCTCGTTCGCCTCCCCGCACATTGAGATTACAGATTCAGATTTTTGGAGTTTTTTGATTTGAATATTTTAGCCCGTACTTGCTTTTAGTGTTTTTTCGTCTAATTGTCTGATGTCTTCTTTAGTGTGGGTTTTCCACACCTGAGCTGGTTACTCAGGTCGGACGAGATCTCCGCTCAGTTCCAAGCAATCGCCAAAGCGCTTCATTTGTGGTGTGTGGCGTACACAGAGGGTACCTGTGTTTACCTTTGTCGCTCCTGCCTCAAACACACCTGGCCAATAAGCAGACTGGACGTTCCCACCTGGTTCATAGTGACGCGTTGCGTTTCACTCTGTGTGAGCAGACACCAAAGCTCCGACTGATTCAGACCACAGCAGGCAAAAAGCCTGATCATTAGCTTCCTGCGTTCCTTTGAAGGCTGATCATCTTTTATTGTTCTCCTGATTCTCTTCATCCTCGCCTACATCGATCGACCTTGTAAACTTTACTTGGACCATGATAATAATAATGAATGACTTTCGCTTCTTATGCTTCGGGATTTGTTACCATAACATATGTAATCATCACAGCACAGCCTCCATAACTGTGATGGTAGGAAGATAGAATAAAAGTGCTGGGCTCATATAATCGATGTTTACAGCAGGTAAACTGTGTTTTAAGGTGTTCAATCATCATCAAAGCCAAAACGTGGCTCTCGCTGTCAGACATGTCTGGGCTTGTCTTGTTGTGCTGTGGGGAACACAGTTTTTTAACCAAATTTAAATGTCTGATGGATGATGGTGTGGCTGTGAGCTGTTTTAAAGACGGTTACCATGAAGACGCCACAATAAAGGCCTGAGCTTGGTGGTTAAAAGAGCACATGATGCAGCCCACTGGGTCACAAGAACACGGTGAACCGCTCGGGAATAAACCAATAAATCATGTTAGATAACCGGTTTTACGTTCAGTGTTCAGAGCTGTGAGTCTTTCAGCTCTGCCTGTGAAGCTACAGCTGCTCAGAGGGAGATGGAGGAAGAAACGAGCTGTAGCTGGAAGAAGGAGAAAGGAAGGGCGGATTAGGGTGGGTGCCTGTGGCGGAGCATGATGTCAGGGGAATGTGCTGAGCCTCTCCTTTAACGAGCGGCGGCCACCTCGCGCTCATACGCTTCAACCCCGTCCAGCTCGTTTCGCTGTCGCTTTTCTGTCCTCGGGTCAGCCGCCGCTTGCCTATTGTGATCCGAGCAGCCCGTTTGTATTTGTCGCACACATGTGACAGATATTTACTGAACAAAGATGCTTTAAAAGAGCACAAATATGACACGCAATCACATGAGAGGAAGAAGTGTCGTGTCAGAGTGTGGAATGTGTTTTCAGTGGTCGATTTCCAGCATCCGGCCCTGCAGCTGCAGCTCGTTGCAGGATTACAGATGGAGATGGAGGAAAGGGAGTGGAGAGAGCGAGGGAACACACACAGAAAGTGACTGGTATCATGAGCGGGAGGGCCAGATGCTGGGAACAGCTGGAAAGACTATGACTAATATTAGCAGTGAGGTAAGACGGTGGAGGATGGAGGGGACGGAGGGCAGCTGCTACTGTAAACCAGCCATGCTGAAGTCACATTTATTTATAGCCACACAGTCATCTCACCAGAATCTTTCATGGTCGACGGCTCGATTTACTCTACAGACTGTATATAAAAGATGGAGGTGGCCACCGCGACCTCCTAGAATCCAAAATTTGACAAATCAACACCTGCCACCTTGTTACCTGCTAATTAACATCCAAATTAAACACTTGAGTTTAATTAGTGCATTCAACTGGAAAAAAGAGCAGACGCCAGCTAACGCTGCAGTTCCTCTAACGTCCAGCAGAGGCTCCAGCAGGGAGGCAGTCCCCCAGACTCCCATGTTAGAAGATCCAACTTTACAGCAGAAACAAACATGAGCCTGATGCCTTAATCAGGGGCGTGGCCTCTGCCAGGTGGATGGTGACACAGCTGGCTGTAGCTGCTAGCTGTCTGCTAGCTTCACATGAACCTGACCTCTGCACTGTGTTCGTGCTGTTGGATCATTTTTAATGGCATCATGTGACCAATAATATGGCTGCTGTGAGGTCACTGTACCAACTGCCCAGGAAGCCTGAGTGATTATGAAGCGTTGTGAACAGGTGTGTGTGTGTGTGTGTGTGTGTGTGTGTGTGTGTGTGTGTGTGTGTGTGTGTGTGTGTGTGTGTGTGTGTGCGCTATGTTCCTATAACTCCTAACTAAGCTAGCTAGCTGATACCCTCTGTTCAGCTCCAAATAAAAGATGGTGCTGACCGTGAAGTGTCTAAACTAGTGTGTGATGTCATGGCGAGACTATCTAGCCTTTATAAACGAGTAAAAGGTTGACTTTACTTCACACACACACGCACACACTTGTTTACACTGCACTGAAATCCATAAAAGGCTGGCAGGTTAACAGTTTGTGTTCTGAAAAAAGATCTTCTCAGAAACAAAGTCCGGGAACATTTCTATAAATAGCGTCCCCTGTGGCTGCTAAAGCGGTGTGTAGAGCTGAGAAGTGTTTGCCGAATCCGTGAGTGCAGAAGCACCTCGAGCAGAGCTGGGTCGGCCTCGTAAAGCCGCTGATCGCTTTATATCCCAACAGTCTGCAGTCGGCTTCAGACGAGGGAGCAAAACACGATAAAACCGAGCGCGATCCCAGAGTGAGACGGATCCCACTGAGCATTTAAATACAGCCCGAGTGATGCATTTAAACTGCGTCAGCACTTGGAGCACAAGCTCAGCACAGGCGTGTTCTCAACTACAAACTGACCTGGGATCAGTGCAGCTTCAGACACACAACACAGAAAACACCACAACACAAATATGTGAAAACCTCTGAAAGGTCTGCCTCACTGATGCTTTCAAAGCCAACATCATGTTTGTTGTTGACATTTATGACATCTCCTTAATCTCTGGTTTTCCAAAGCTCCCAAAGAAACAGTGCTGAGTAAAACGACAATCTGAAACACAACAAAACCGACGAAAACAGAGCGAAGAACAGGAGAGATTTATTAGAAACATGAGCAGGTTAGCAGAGCAGCACAATATCACCTTAAAATCGTGTCTCAAGAGTTGAAAGAGCTGTGATAATGATATTTATGGTGGTAGGGACATACTGAGTGATGGCAGACCGTATGACATGTAAGCACAGGCATCGCCTCAGTGATGATTTCAGTGGAACAGCTATTTAACCGTTTACTTGAACAATAACTAGACTAACTAACCACACTCTGTCACAGGATGAAACTGAAACTTCCTGTGATGTTGTCTCGGGCCACTTAAAGCTCACCTTTACCACCGTGTGACCACATCATCACTTTCCATCTGCCACAAGCTCTTCCTGTCTCGTGGAGCGCAGTTAGCGAGCGTTTCATCGATGTGTTTACATCGAGGTCATTGCCAGTGGCTCGTACCTCCTCCTCGTGTGCCCTCACAGTCCGATCACGTTTCCAGAGCACTGTCATTTGTTGGTGGCTGTGGCTCATTGGAAGCTGGCGAGAGCATGAAAACTGTTCTTTCAAAAAAAAGTCAGTTCCAGGTAAACTGTTTCATTGGTTCACTTAAACATTCAGTAATCCTGATGTTTGAATCTGTTTGTACGTCTGTGTGGACACAAACCAAGCCAAAAGAAAACTTGTGAGCCTGGATGTGCTCACTGTTTCATTTGGGGCATAAAGCGAGTAAATGAAATTATTTTAATGAATGTAAACAGGAAGCTGAACATCTCGCCACAGCTCAGCTCTCACAGACTTCAATTTAAAATCCCAGAACATGTGAAGCAAACACAGCGAGGTGTTCCTGGTCCTGTCACTGATGGACGGATGGATGGTTTGATGGATGATTGATGGATGGATGGTTTGATGGATGTGTAGCGCGCGGCGACACTAAAGCGGTCGTGCCAGAATGTCACGCTAAAAAGAAAGATTCTTTAAAATACAAGGGGGAGCAAGCGAGTCAGATACCACGGGCACAGAGAGGGAGCAGGTCTGATCAGAAACAGTTTATTACTGGGCCAGAGAGCACAAATAAAAACACCCTTAAAATGTACATAATAAAATGTTGTCTCTCTATAAAAACAATTCTAAAACCCGTAAAACTACCATTTTCTACATTCACTAAAACCCCCCCCCCGCTATAATTATGCCACATGTTCATTATGGGAGGCCAGGAATTCCTTCTTTAGAGCAGAGTCCACGCCAGCCTCGTCTTCAGCAGACAAGAAAGAGCCACCCATCTTCTTGTCCTTCCGCTGGCCCATCACTTCCCAGCCCGGCTTGCGTTCTGCACCCGAATCCATCATGCGACCACCGCCACAGCTCCCCTTGCGTCGGTGTCCTGTAAAATAACAAATAGGGGCCAGAACAATGGTCCCAGAAGCGGCCCTGGCTCACGGCCATGGCGACCCTCTCCCAATCCAGCTGCACCCAGTAAACAACAGTAGAGACCCTACTCACAAATGCAGGCAGAGGTAAACCTCTGCTCTGCTGCCAATCACAGCGTCGTCTCTTACTGTTGCCGTTCCATCAGGTCAGGACTGGGTCGCCGCATCACACTGGCCATCTCGCATTAACCTTCCAGTCTGGGACCTCCCTCCTTCGGTGCTCAGCTAGCCTGTTTTTAAAAGGTCTTTACACAGCTGATAGGCCACCTCTGGACACACCCCTGCCTCAGCAGGTGGTCCCTATCAGCTAATTTGTCCCATGTGCAGCCAGTCCACAGTGGATAAAAACCATGTCACATAAAACACTAAAAACCATAAAACCATGCAAATAAAACGACAGTCATAAATAAACACTAAAAATCAGAATAAAAATAAAATACAAATTTCCACTGTGTGACAGATGGATGGATGATTTGATGGATGATGGATGGAGTTCACGTGTGAAGAATTCCTCCTTCCTGCTCGGGTTGTCCTCACAGCACTCAGTGTGGGAACAATGATCCTAGTGTCTCAGGTTCTGTTGGAGCAGCAGGAAAATTACTCCGAGTGCCGACGGGAGAAGTGAGCACATCATTGCGTTCGTCTGATTGTCATTAAAGTGTTTACAACAGCAGCAGGGTCTAAAGTGACCCCTGACCTTTCCACGACAACGTAATGATTTCAGGTTTCAGACGTGTCACAGGTCGAGCGATGTCTGCAGAAACTTTGCATTTAAAGTTATTAGTGAAGAATAAGAAATGGCTGTAACCTTCCTGAATGCATCACTTGTTTGTGTTTTTTGGAAAACTGATTCGACTTTGTCCGACATAAACTCTGGAAAGAAGAGGGGAAAGTTTCGCTCTGGAGGTCTAGACTGCTTATTCAGTCCACTTTTCCACGACTGAGCCGGAGAATAAAGAGAGCAGTGTGCTCATTCCTGAGCGTTTAACACGGTGGGACGCAGCCGCGCTGACCGCAGCGCAGCGTGGCACAGGAAACTTCCATCAACCCAGCGCCAGCCCGAGGCCTGGAAGGCAATCAGCCCATAAAGCTGTGTGTGTGTGTGTGTGTGCACCATGTTCAGAGATCTTTGTGGGGACCAAAAACTGGCATGCTGCTATACTTGTGAGGACCAACAGTCCTTATGCAGACAAAACGCCGTCACCACGAGTTTGAAGACGTTTCTGAGGCTCAAAATGTGGTTTTAGTGTCAGGGTTACAGTTATGGTGGGAAATGATGTCATGATGATGGCAACGTCATTTAGATTCTTACTTACTTAGGTCCTTACTAAGATATGATGTGTGAGCG